GAACTATCCTTTTTGCTCAGCGCTTTTCTTTTAAAAATAACTAGAATAGAAATGTTATGCAAAAGTCATAAACTGATTATTCCCCACCTTACTACTACATAAAAAAGAAAAAAAACGTTTGAGCTACTTAAAATGTATATTTGGCAAAAGCTTAATCTGCTTTTACCTCGGTCCCAAGCATTTATTATTACAAAGCCCCGTTTCATCCGAAAACGTCCTGCATGTTATTTAAATTTCAACCCTAGCGCAGCTGGATCGTTTAAAGATGCTTGATACTTGGGACAATAAAATCAACCTGTAACCGCCCGCAGTTTTCGGCTAATTTGTACGAAAAATCTAAAAGCAACATATCTCGGTCTAGATTTCAATGTACTACTGTACATGATTCAAAAGCTTAGGGCAAGGTATGTTTGTCGTCGATGTCCTCTACACCATATCGCTTGATAGTGAATGTCCACTCGGTTGAATATAAAAACATTTTGGGCACACATTCCACTCTATTAGCACAGAAACGGCACTGTCCCACTTCTATAAGGTTAGCCTTCGGCGAAATTGTACTGCTACTGCATGTGCACATGTCTACCAACTTTTATTGGTGATTGTAAAGCCCATGCGGGCTGCTACAGTTGTTACAGGCAGTGTTAAAACAATAACCTTGGGTGTACATGCAACGACGGTGAAATTTACAAAGTTCCCAATACTTTCAGATTAATCGACAATTTTGGATGCGTTTATAGTTTCGACGCGTACTATAGGAGCAGTAGGTGCGTTACACTACAGGCGTGTAAGCAGATGGTGCTGTTGTAAAGTATATCAAATCAGACAAATTACTAGGTGAAAAGTGCAGAATTCTGAAGTATTCTACTTTTTAAACTGCAGAATTAAATTATATTCTGAGAGCTTGATAATGCAGGAGCTACTGCTGAACGAAGTCCAACCTTCCTGGAATCTTTCTACGGGCCCACATGTCCACCATTGAAAGCCATAATCGCCCATTAGCCTTCAGATCCGAATATCCAGGTGCTCTCGAGATCCATCCCCCTCTACTTAAGAAATCTTTTAAATGAATTTTCCTTATGCTGCAGAGTACGCACATGTCTACTCATTGACAGCCCACTACCATAACGGTGTGGTGGTTGGATGTTTACTGATGCTCAGCCTAAGATAGATGTCGTAAACTACAGCTGTCAGTTTAACTGATCTAGCACTGTATACGCATGAGGCTACAAACCGAGGTGATGAATACAAGTAGACGACTGCTCAAGTTTACGGACATTTATTTTCCTCTTTGTTTGTTTGGAAAATAATCGATCTCGATTGATGTAGAGTACAACAATTAGTAGTGCCACACACATCGGAAACCTGTGTGTTGAAGATGGTGATCAGTCTTCCCCGACGACGCCTGGGCCTCAGACTAAACGGTTGGGAATATATTATGAATTTCTTAAACATCTTCATTAAATTGAATACGTTTCTCCTCAAGGGGCTGCTGTCAACCTGCCAGCGTTTACAAAATAACTAGGTTGAAATTATCACACCTCATGATTTCCTTGCGCTTGCGTTCAGTCTTTAATGCTTGCTCATTGCTATCCCGCGGAAATAAAAATGAGAGTCCAGAATATATTAGAAAAGTACTTGAAGTATCATTATGAATGAAAAAAAATCCCCTCCTCGATAGATTTCGCTACTACAAGCGTAAGTAACGTTTCCACAACAACTAATCCTATGACAAGCTCCACGACAAGAAACTTTCACAGAGAGTTCATTTGGCAACATTCTTCTCCGCCCCACAACCGAGCTACTGAAGTACCTCAACTGGCCAAGTGAGTTCTTTCGCATCTGACCTACCAAGGCATCATGAGGTCGTTGAACGTCGTGCAAATGTTTGCCGTAGTCGTCGCGCTAGTAGCTACTAGCTCCGCGGCTAGTGACAGCAGTCCCACGATTGCCTCGGATAGATCGTCATCCGAGCTGAAGTTTCCTTTCTCAGCAGTCGAAAAGACCGACAACAACGAGAAACATTTCCTGCGCTCTCTCAAAGTTGCGGTAATCTGTTGTGGTTTATGCTAATTCCATTGGGCACTTTTGGGCATTTCGGGCATCGTTTTGGGCACACAGAAATTTCTCCCCAGGAGATGCGCCGGCAATGGAGCCCCAAGCCTTCGAAATATATTCATGATTCTCTTTTGCAAGATTTCAGAGCTTCATCGGCGATTTTGTTAGAGAAAAGGTTCTGTAATGTATGATGAAAAGTGCCTTCTACAATTTTATTTAAACTAGGATATCCTTTTTTCTTTATGAAACCTTATATGCATGCGTGAGACGTGAAATGATGCAGGCATGAAGACGAGAAATGATACAGAGCTCTGTAATGTATTCCTCACCACTGAATCAATTGGATGGTTTGGGTTATTTATATGTCGCAACATATTAGTCTGAATATGGTTAAACTACTTTGTGAAGTCGATCTCCTTATTCAGCTTTCATTTGAAACTGATGAACAACTCACTACATTTCTTGCCAAACTCTTGAGTTCGAGTCGTAAAACCACAGTCAGTAACGTCAATGCGGGACAGTACGTCAAAACTACTGAATGGCAGGATGCACGAACGCTGGTATCGCATTCAGGTAAAAACGCTTAACCAACGTCGATATTGGTTGCCAATCTGGATTGCTTTCTTTGTAGTCCAGCCGTTGCTTCGCATCGCTGAATAAACGCCGTCAATAACTTGCAGATCTGTTTTCCCCGGGTTTTTCCACTCGTTAAATTTCAAGAAGAGATGATCATCTCTTGTTGATGTGATTTTAAACATGTTCGCCATTTTTGCCTTCTCTGCGGCCGCTTGCGCCTTTTTTGCCGCAGCTTGTGCTTTCTTCGCTTGCGCTGCCGCCGCCTTTGCAGCTGCTGCCGACTTGAGTGCGTCTGCCCCCGGTAGTTTCTTCTGCAGATTCTTCAAGAAGGAAACATTTATACCAGCTCGCTCTTCTTCCTCCGGTTTACCAGCCATTTTGAGATATCTTAGAAGCGGTTTTGCGTCGCTCGCAACCTGTTTGATAGATGCGGGCGGGTATTCCAGCTTGGGTGATGCATCTTCCGAGATAATTGTAGGTCTCCTTTCTTTAGCCGAGCTGCCAGTAAGTCCTAGCAAGACCACTGTAGCAATAAGTAGTACGATGTTGGACGAGCCCATGTTGCTTGGTACTTCAGCCAGCAGGGGTAGCTCGGTTGTTGTCGGAGGAGAATGTTGTGAAATGAAACTATCAGGTCTTGAGTTCGCCGACCTTATTTTTTTTCCTGGCTTTGCTAGAGATCTGAGAAGCCAAATGTTTCAACAGGACTACATGCACAATTTCCGAACATGAATTACATGTATTATACTTATCAGTTGTGTCCATCACCTCTATTCTGTATGAAAACCAGCAGGAGGGAGCTCGGCCACACGAAATCCATTCCTGGCTTAACTCTCATATGATCCGGATTGCCAAATCCCGCTCGGTTGTACTAGTATAGGGCTAATGTCCAGTTGGGTTTAGGCAGGGTGCTGCAAGCTCTTGACTCCCTATTTAGAGATTTGGTGTCCCATGACGTCCGTCCTCCCTTGCATTTTGCTTCAAGATGTGCTTTCAGTACATAGATGCAACATACATGGTAATGTGGTACATGTACAGTAATCATTGTCGTGAACTTCTCTGGTCCGCTTCAAAATGACTATTGGGGTTTTAATAAATCGCACATAACCGAGTATTTTGTATTTATTGGATAGAAAGTGACAAGTTCTTATACTTGTCTCCCGACCACTAATTCTGACACTGGTGAACGCTTATTTCGCAAACTCCAATATCCCACTCACGCCGATGCCAAGAACCCCCCGAAAAAAAGGCATCCCACCTGCAATACGACTTCGCGTAGTGTTGTTCCTTGCCGAGGTGGCAAACACTGGATAAGTGTTTTGTCACTTTACAGAAAATGATGGAAGCAATTATGCGTTGTGATGGCGGCAACGACTTCAAGCTTCCTCGAGTGAGCAAACACGTAGCAGTCAATGGCAAGATGCCTAAGTCGATGAAAGTTGCAACCGATGCCGCAATAGAAGGGCACAGCCAGCTTTTCGATTCATAATTAAGTTCACTAGCTAAATTTCATGTTTTGGTAAATAAACTTGAGAAACCTGGTGTCCTATCGTACCGTTTCGAAGAATAACACCCAGAGCTGTTCCAAACGAAAGCGTGGCTTTGTAAATACAGTCCTTAGATTGTGGTTGGTACTCAACAGATTACGGTCGGGACAAATATCCTACGACAGCATTGAAATTATGTTTACGGTGGTGTACACAACATTCCCTTCGCAAACTAATCTTAATTTTTGTGGAGAAAGTACGAGGTTTCAGAAGGACCAACAAATACTCTAATATAGTGAGTGACCCAACTCGAAAAAAATATATTAAGGCTACCTACCACTAGTTAACGACTCCCTAGAGAGCAGTGTGACACCTTACACGCAGGGTTGCGCACAATCATATTGTATTTTAATTGGGGACCTTGCTCGAGGTCAATCAATAATTTGTTTTTTGACAATTTTTTATCACTCAACTCGCCGTCGCGTACGACGCTCTACCTGCTGAACGGCAGATGCAACAAGCTGGGGGTCCCACAAAGTACGATTATACTCGAGGAAGAGCAGCGTCTCCAGCGTGGTTGGGTGCATCGCCCGCCGATTAACAGTAAGCACCAGGCCTGCCCGTGAGAAGAGTCTCTCTACTTCATTAGAGGTTGAAGGAATCCAGTCCAGGGCGATATAGCGAGAATGATGCAGTTGGGTCGTATCACGAAGTGCACGATCAGCAAAGGATTGACCGACATCTTCGTCTGCATCTTCACGGTCGTTGCCGTGCGTGTCTACCAGGCGACTTATAGCCTGCAGGAAATTGCAGAATGAGGATACTTAAACAGCTTACATTTGGAGTACGTAGGTGTTAGCCTAGCAGCTAGGATTCTCGCGGGAAAGCTCCCAGACGTGCGCCATGATACGCAAGAAGAAGGGTGCACTAAACGCTCCTTAAAAATCAAGCCATTACATTGTCCATAGAACGCAAGAATCAAGGTATTTAGCCAGCAGCATTCACGAATCTTTTTTTAACGCAATTGGTACCGCGCTCAAACAATAATTGTATGCGGTTTTATTGGAATAATTGAAACACCAATTGTTTGTTACGCAACCTTGCTATCAGCCCACCGACATGCAAGCCCAAGACTACTGCCCAGTGTTTGTCGTCACGGGGAGACGTACGTGAACTTTGTTCACGCGCATGAGTCAACCCCCACGCAAATCCACTCGACGTGATCGACGACTTCACAGTCGATCAATTTATGAAGGCGGTACTCTCATACGTTGCTGCCGACCACGCCATACCTCCTGACAATGCTTCAGGCCTTTCATGTACTATGACTCCAGTGCTCGAAGTTGCTTTCAAGCTCCGAAACCTGAATCATAAATCATGGGTAAGTGCATTATTGCTGCCATGTGCAACTCCGTAGAGTCGAGCGTACTGCCGAGCAGAGGTCGCAAACGCAAGATTCCAGTTATCCAAAACCCGTCCAAAGTCCCTTGTGATCAATGTTCGGGTGACCATGACCAATAATACGAGTCTTTCGGACACTAATGGCTGACAGGAAATAGCGATTGGCAAACCTAAACTATATGTAATATTTGTTTTGGACTTATAATGTGAAAAGGTTTCATTTCCGACATTTCTGCGCTGAATAAGTCTGCACTGAATAAGATGCTAAATGCATCATTCGCTCGTAAAGGTAGATCGAGGCGTGCGAGCCCCACACAAGCACTCGTAGAAATATGAAAACCTCAACAATGCCCAGCTTCCGGTAGTGTCGGCCAACCATAACCAGTTGAGCATGGGAGTCGGATACCCGTACTTCGTCCGATTAGTTGCTGGGTCTAAGATTCGGTTAACCATATCCGTCCGTGGTTACGGCTACATGTTACGCGAATGAGTACGATTAACCATGTGCGAACTCTGCGACCTCTGCTGCCGGTGTACACTCCCGAACCTCCCTCCAGCACCATGGTCAGTGTAATTCACATGCTGTGTCCAATAGTTTGTGTAGATAACGCTGATTTTTCTCCTCTATGAGCTGTCAGACGCGAGTATATCTTTTTTTATTATTTATTTGCAACAACGTTAAAGAAAAAGAGTTATTTAGTGAATGGATCATGCTTCTCAATAATCACGAGGCTAACCACAGTCTAATCTAGAAAGAAGTTCTACGCTTCGGCGTACATGCCTTCGCTCTTAAGCAAGTGGCTGATGGCAGTCACCAACTCGCTCTGTGCGATATTAACACCCGGATCGGCAATTTTCTCCATCAAAAGACGGTCCAAGTGTTGGCGGATCGACTTGATGAGTACACCGATACGCGCAACAGCGTTGAATCGGATAAACCCGTCCAGTGTCAGCAGATTCTTCTCATGGACGACTTCCAGACGACCTCCGAACAGCAACAGCGCGTACGGATTCACCATGGTGCTCTCACGTACGAAGATCTTGGAGGTTTGTACCAACTCCGTGTACAGCAGCCACGGAGAATCGTAATTGTTCTGGGAGAAGTTGCACGATGACGGGTGTAGAAACACACGCTCACGTTGTCCTGCCTCCGTCGCTGAGCGTACAAAGTACCGGATCTGCTTGGCATTGTGGTCCTCCTCCACCACACCGTGCGCAGCTTGGAAGTACTTTTGCTCTGGGTACACCACTTGCGCCACATTCGCATACAGACCGGCACAAAGTGCAGCCTTGATAATACGAGGCGCATCGGAGTTTGCATTGAGGTGGCCATCACTTGATGACTCGTAGAAGCCAATATTGTCCAGCTGCTGCAAGTACTGCTGCTTTAAGTCCAAGATTGACTCCATGGTGTCGTACGAAAGACCAATATCGCGACAGAAGCCACGCTTCATCTTCTGTCCTCGCAGAGGAGCATAGCGCTCGATCAACTTCCATAGCAACAAGTGGTCGCTCTTCCAGTTCCCACCCAGTTCTTTCTTCAGCGCATCCTGCTTAGCACGCATCTCCGGGTCCGACATGCTCATCAAGAACGGGTTGCGAGAAGAAATACAGGCAGCGATGATGGCAACAGGCTCGATGCAGCGTAGAATGGAGCCGTACACCAAGAACTTGCCAATGCGAGCATCCAGTGGCAACATGGCCAAATGGTTACCCAGAGGCGTCAGTGCTACCTCTTCGTCGTGGATATCCCTGTTGCCACGAAGCTTGCTCTTCGGTGACTCGCCTACGGTTCGGAATGCTGCGATGTCTACCAGTTCTTGGATAGCTGCGTCGATTGCATCCTCATTAGGATGTTCAATAGCTTTGGACAGAAATCCCTTGATCGATCCAAGTTCTAGTTTCTTAATCTGAAGACACAGTTGTTCCAGAGACACACGATGAATCTCAGCAGACAGTTGAGCGTCCATGGCAGCAAACCGCTTGCGAGAGAACAGTCGGTAGCACGTGCCAGCCTGTACACGACCTGCTCGACCCTTGCGCTGGTCGCAAGCAGCACGAGAAGCCCAGCAGTCCAGTAGCTGAGAGCGGCGAGCACGGTTGTCATACACCATCTCTTTCACCTTTCCAGAGTCGATCACAGCTGTAATGTCGTTGATAGTGATTGAAGTCTCGGCGATATTCGTACTCACGATGACCTTGGTCTTCCCCGAAGGCGCAGACTTGAACACCATCGCCTGATCAGCTCCTGAGAGCGAACCATGCAGAGGCAGAGCCCATACTTTGGCTGATAACCCGCCGTTGCTATGCGTCAACATCTCTATCAGTCGCTTGATCTCAGCAGTACCAGGTAAGAACACGAGGATTGCTCCACTGGTTTGAGACTTCTCCAACACTAGATGACGCACTAGATGTACGATCAGATCGTAATCGACCTTGGAGTCGTCAACACGCGCGGCGATCTCCTCGGACGTCATCTCGGACAGGGCTTTCTGCTTCTCTTCTTCATCTTTTCCATCCTTCTTATTCTTCTTTTCTTTCAGCAAATACTTTGGCACTTCGTATTGAGTCTGATCAAGAACGTCTTCAAGGAAGTTACACTCGACCGGATAGGTGAATCCAGGGATGTCCAGCACAGGACACGGCGTGCTGGTAATTGACGAGAAATACTTGACAAACAGCTCGGAATTCATCGTAGCACTCATCAAAATAACGCGAAGATCCGGGCGTTGAGGCAACAAGTCCCGAAGAATAGAGAGCAGGAAATCAGTGTCCACGTTGCGTTCGTGAACCTCATCAACGATCACGTGCGAGACTCCGGAGAGCTGTCGATCGTTGAGTAAACGTCGAAGTAGAACACCAGTCGTGCAGAATAACAGTCGCGTGTTGGCCGACTTCTTGGCATCCATACGGATCTGATAACCCACAACGTCAGCGATCTCTTCACACCTTTCTTGTGCCACACGAGTGGCTACACCGATAGCGGCAATGCGGCGTGGCTGAGTACAGATGATGTTGCACTCTCCGCCAGCCCCACGGTTGATGTGCTCATCCAGAATGAACTGCGGGATCTGCGTCGTCTTACCGCAACCTGTAGCTCCACAGATGAGAACCACTTGGTTGTTCTGCACACACTCGATCACTTGAGCCTCTTCCTTTACTGCAGGAAGCTTGGCGCGAGCAGCTAGCATCTGCTGGAAGTTCTGCTGACTGTCCTTTGCTTTCCTTGACTGCAACAGCTTCTCACTCATACGACGAACAGCTTCGGAGTCAACGCGCTTCGGCTGGTTCTTGTACATTCCAGCATTACCGTTGTTCTTTTTCCGAGATTTTGCCTTGTTCGGTGTAGTTTTAGAGGGAGTTTGAGAACGATTCACTGCATTCTCTTTCACTGCAGCTAGTTTCTTCAGCAGTTGAATTCTGGGTGGACTGCTGGACAACCGCTTCTTGTCTTGGAAGTATGTGTCAATAGCAACGTAGATGTCGTACAGCATTGGCTCCCCCATGGAGTGGACGCAGCTCTTGAGCGCTTCTCCACATGCAGCAAGTAGATGAGGCTGGTGTTTTGCCTCAGTTGACGTCAACGCTAGAAGAGGCAGCTCGAACGGATACTTGGATGTACTTGAAAGGAAAATATGCAGGCGGAGTGCGTCGGTCACTTCAAACTCAAGCAATTGGGCCTTGGATCCGTCCTCGAGAGACATGATCTTTAGCTTCTCGTCGTAAATAGCCTCTAACGCGAAGATTTCATCTTGACGTTGGTCGAGCAATTCCTCAGTTGCTTCAATTGCTCCGTTCTCCTCCAAGCTGAAGTGTCGTTTAACATGTGGTGATAGCTTCTCTAGTATAGCGAAAAGAGTAGCCACTGATGGAGTTTTCAAGTCTTCATCACTCATTCCCGAATGTTCCTGTACGAACTCATTCGCCACCGTCACAGCGTCGTGCTGGTCGTAACCAAACTTCATCAAGCGCTGTACTAACACAGTCGTACGAGGTGAAGCATCCGTCTGTGTAGAGCTCAATACCACGTCCAGTTGCGTGCCTTCCGGGTTGAATTTCTTCGGTAAATCACCTTCAGGGATGTTCAAGCACAGCCAGTCAAAGATCGCAGTCATATGCGCATCTTCAGCACCCTCATCGTCCACCTTTAAGCCACGTGAGCAGCTCTGCAACGCTCCGTTTATCTGCGCTGGAGTAAATCCGATCGCTTTAAGTCTTTGCGTCGCCTTCTTCTGGAATTCTTCTTCTTCTAGCTTTTTCTGTTCCAAATCGCTCTCCTCGTCCATTAGATTTTGTCCCTTGCTGCTCTTCTTCTGCATCTCACCCAATTGTCTCAAAATGCCTTCAATGAGTTCTCTACACTGCGCATTCATCATGACCTGCTTGGGTAAATTGGCTCTCTCCCTGTTCTCTCTCGCTCGCAGCTTCTTGTTCCTCTCCTGAGTGCGAGCAAGTTTCGCTGTTTCAAACTCCTTATGAGACGCAAACTTCCTGTCCATCGTCAATGTCATTGGCTTGTCGCTTTTCTTCTCCACGACCTCCTCTTCGGCATCTCTACCCCATAAATCCATGCCCTTGTCCTCTTTAGTCTCCGTTTTAGTCTCCTTCTCCTCCGATTTAGTCTTATTCTTTCCTTTCTTCGTTTTAGGACCTGATCCTTTATCTGCAGGGCCGTTCTGAGAGCCTAAAGCCAGCCACAAGTCTCGGTACGGGTCCGGTAGCTTGCGCTCGTGAGGGCGAAGTGGTTCAACGTGTTTCAGAGCCAGTAAGGCGGCGCAGTGTTTGGCCTCGTCCTGAGTTTCAAACTCCTGCTCAGGACAGAAGCTCAGGTCTTTACTGCTGTCTTTGTCATCTGGTAGAACGCAGCGCATGCGGAACTTGGCTGCGTCTTTGCTCCGAGCTCGCGCGTAGAAGGCGTTGCGGCGCTTCTTGGACTGGCAGAACTCATGCAGCAGCTGCATGGGCGTGCGCTGCCACTCTTTGCATAGCACACCCTGGCGCACGGTGTCCCCCTTGGACACGCTTACGGTGCCGGCACCGCGCTGCCGGTGACCCGGTTGACGCTGACGCCCCATGTTATATGAAATGTGCCAATTGGGCAAAAAAGTGTTTTTAATTTAAAAAAAAAAAAAAAAAAAAAAAAACGGATGGTCCAAGATGAAATGGGCACTTTTCCCCGCAAAGTTTGTTGGGGAGGAGAAATTACACTTGTATAAAGAAAGGAGGAAACTAAAAGGAAAAAAATAACTGGAATTGTGAAGCAGGAAGTAGATTCTTTTTAAAACATGTACTACGATGACTATGTTGCTCAATAAGAAAAGTTAATAAACGCATTGGTAGAGCAAGCAATTATAAAAAAAAAAACGCACAGCTCTGTCAAGTCATGACCACTACAAACTTGGTTTGAACGCAACCGATCCCAATGTGGATGCAATTTTCTTCATTTAACCCATATTAATAAGGCGCCAAGCGTAATATTGCGTCCCTATGTTGTTGGCCTGTTTTCGACTCCACCCTTGGCTTTTCATCATCCTAGTAACATCGTCAACAACGTCGGACGGTGTTTTTTTTCGCCGTGTTCCATTGTCTGAACTGCAAATGAAGAAGATCTTGCCTGCTATCCGACATCTTGAGCATGGTGACAATGGCCGCCTCCTCTTTGGCTGTTTGCGCGGTCTTTTGTGCTGCTGCAGCCTTTGCTGCCTTGAATGCAGCGGTCCCAGCTAGCTTCTTCTGTATATTCTTCAAGAAGGAAAAGTTGATAGCTCGCTCTTCTTCTTCATGGCCGGCCACTGGCTTGTCGGGAACTTTGAGAAAGCGCAGGAAATGTTTCTCGTTGTTGTCGGTCTTTTCGGCTGCTGAGAAAGGAAACTTCAGCTCGGATGACGATCTGTCCGAGGCAATCGTGGGACTGCTGTCACTAGCCGCGGAGCTAGTAGCTACTAGCGCGACGACTACGGCAAACATTTGCACGACGTTCAACGACCTCATGATGCCTTGGTAGGTCAGATGCGAAAGAACTCACTTGGCCAGTTGAGGTAGTTAAGTAGCTCGGTTGTGGGGCGGAGAACAATGTTGCCAAATGAACTCTTTCATCGTGCAGCGTATTATAGATATCAGTTTGTTGTAGAAAACGTTATTCACAGGCAAATTGATGCTGCGAATACAGTATGTCGTGGAGGAAGGCAACATCTGGTTTGTATTCATTGTAAGTCGACAATGAACGCTATCAAATGAGGAATTCCATAAATCAGTTGCTCCTTACTGATTTTTGCATGCCACCAAAGTTTTTTTTCTATTTTTAAGTACGTTCAACTTAAAAAAACAAGTATGTACATAATAATATTTCAAGTACTAAAGGAGGGCAAAACAAAGGAGGGCATGCCCTAGTAATCGACAAAGCATCAATAGTCTACTGAAGAGAGGTAATGCCTCCTCCGAATGCAACTGGCTTAGATCAGGAATGACTCAAGTCATTTTTTTCAATTTCTCTGCAAGCAACCAATCGGTATGACGTACATGTAGAATTTCACTTTTAACCTTTTCTTTGAAAACGTGAGTCCCAAATTATTATGATCAAGATTTATGACCATTGAAGTGGAGAAAGTCCGTTTATCTAGAATTTGGATACAAACAACGAGTCTATTTGGATCTTTCCAGCTGAGCATAGCATTCACTTCAATTGACGTGATAGCTAACATTGCACTATCAGTTACAGTCGGCCATACATTCACAGATCTTAATGACTTCTTTAAGATTCTGCTGACGGCAAAGACGTGCCTAGCGAAAAATGGTTCAACAGCGGTGTAGGCGGTGAATCAACCACCGCCTTTGTGCGCGTAGAAGGGAGAAAGAGGAGATATATTTTCTCTTGAAAAGGAAGTATCAGTAATCTGCCGACGGCTGATATGATGCCCCCAGATGATGGGCATCAGGTGGCGAACAGGCGTGATCATCACCGATCACCAACTTTGAAGCAAAAGCCCAAGGATTTCCGTGTGGCTTGATGATCCCCCAGTGGCGATGGACCAGCTGGTGAGATATCAAGTCTGGGATCGTATATTTGGACGCACGGGATGCAGCTGAAGGTCATGGTGCTCCAAGGAGAGGCTGTGCAAGCCCTCACCAAGGAGGCAAACAGACAAGGAGGCAGCAGGAGTAGTGCCAGGTATCAATCTCTTTATATTCAATCACTTTGCAATTTACTTTGTCCCTCATACTTGGTCGTGAACGCCGAGGACACAGATCAAAGCTAGATTTAGTACTGTGTACTAAGTGACAAGAAACTCCGCTGTGCAAGCGACCCGCTGAGCAAGCTACGCGTCGACTGTGCAAGTCGACCATTCGTGACTGTGCAAGTCATCTAGTGCCTGAGCCGCAATGGCTGGGTTCATCATTCCTGATCAAGACGCCCCGCCACCTGGGCCTGCTGAACAAGCGGCTGCGGAGACTACTGTGGTGGTACCCGGTACCGAAGCAACCGGAACTCCAACTCCAGCAACCGCTGAGCAAGCTGCGGCTGGAGGAGGACCCATGCGTCGCCCTAACACCCACGTCGTGAGCAACGCTGGAGGCCCCTTCGCGCTGCCTCGTCGAGAATATGGCGTTGACGAAGATGTTGACATGGAGGACGTAAGCGGCCGCGTGGACGGTGCAGAACATTAGGCTCAAGCGAGACTACCGCTTAGCAAGCGCGTCCAGACAATGCCCACGCTCCCAGCCCCTCCGATTTTTCGTGGCTCGACGGCTCAAGAGAAACAAGGCTTCATGAAGAAGTACGAAGCCTATTGCCGGCAGCTGTCTGCCCTCGCTCGAAACGGCGTTCTTTCGTCCGTTCCGAATGCCAGTTGGTGCGTGTGTCGAGGATGAACGCCGCCGCCTGATCGCTATGTTCGGCATCTGTAAACCAATCGACGCGATAACAGAAGCCGATTGGATCGACTACTTCTGGGAAGGAAGGATCACGGGCGAACTGGACTTCGACAAGGTCAAGACGCTCATGAGCCGCAAGCTGGTGACGGATGTGAGTCTTACCGATGCAGACTCACGTGTCTCGAAGCTCGCACACGCAATGTACCAAGTGCTCGAGACCGAGAACATGGAATGGATGGTTGAGAGCGAGCCGAAGAAGATCGTCCATTACCTGATGGATGCACTGGGATTAGAGTAGTTCAAGAAGACCGTGAAGAACGAGCTGGCACGCGAGTCTAACAAGCCCCTGCTGAAGGATGTCGTCGCCTTTATCAAATGGCTTCGTGCCAGTTGTAAGGAATATCTACGGTGGGAACCCGCTAGTCAGTCCTCTGTCCCAGTGGCGAAGTCGAGCGGGAGGAAGACAGAGAAGTCCGCCGGAAAGTCTCCACACACCGAAGAGAGCAAGCCGCCTCCTCGCACGCGGACTTGCTTGAAGTGTGGCAGCGAGGCTCACCGCGTTAAGAACTGTCCCCATGCAGCAACCGGCGAGGCAGAAGACCTTCTACGTAAATGGAGGGAGGCAAGGCCAGGAAAAACCCCGGTGGAGGCGAAGGGATCAGCCCCTGTACACGCTATCAAAGCGCTTCACCTAGAAGAAACTCCGATCGAGCCGAGCAGCGCATGCATGGCTAGGGTGGAGAATGTTCTCGACATTCATGATGTCCTGCTAGATTCCGGAGCGGACGTGAATGTGGCGAGCCGCGGTTTGGTTGACCAATTGCAGCGAAATGGTGCTGCAGTGCGAGAGGCGCAGTGTCCGCCTCGGCAGTTGGCTACGTTTGATGGCAGCCGCTTCGACGTGACGCAACGTGTTATCTTCAATGTGATTCAACTGCGCACGACGGCAGGTCCACTGCTTCTTCGCAATACGCGGGCATGGGTGTTTGAAGAAGAAACGAGCAAGCCCGTGCTGGTCCTGTCGAGACCCGTAATGGAGCACCTCGGGTATTCGGCTGATACTATTCTGGCCCGAGCGTGTGACACTCGGCAGGAGTGGGATTTACAGGAGCTAGGTGGCGGAGAAAGGAGCGCGTCGATCAACCTCATTCGTGATAATTCCCTCTCGGACTCAGCCCGTCTTGACACAACGGACTTGAGAGTTGCGACGCCGGAGCTGGATGGAAAGCAAGGTGACCAGGTCGCTGCGATCCTACAGGAACGTGTGGAAGAAGCTGCCATCGCCGGTCTGAGGGAAGCTGAGGTCGAACAACTGAGGCTGCTATTACTGGAGTTCCAAGATGTCTTTCGGACTTCCTTCGGGCATGATCCCCCAGTGCGGGTAGAACCGCTGCGCGTGCGCCTCCGTGAAGGCGCAACTCCTGTTCGTACTAATGCACGCCGGTATCCGCCGGCTCACATGGAGTATTTGGAGCAGCATGTCGGCGAACTACTCGATGCGGGACTGGTGTATGTAAATCCGCGTAGCCGTTGGGCGTCACCACCTCGGATTGTGTCGAAGAGCACACCAGGGACCTATCGGATGACGGTCGACACAAGGAGAGTGAATGAGCGAACGGATCCCATCCAGTGGCCGATGCCCATACTCGATGCGGCCCTGGGATTGCTGGAAGGCACGACGTGCTACTTTACGCTCGACTGATTTCGTGGTTACTGGCAGCTTCCGCTGCATCCCGACTCGCAGGAGATGTTCTTTATTGTGACGCACCGTGGGATAATCACGCCCACGCGCGTTCTCATGGGAGGCACGGACTCGGTGGCGTATTGTCAGCATGTGGTGAAGGAGGTATTTCAACCACTCCTCTATCATGGTAACCTGGCCTGGCAGGATGACACTTTGGGATACGCGGAGGACCACGTGACTTTGCTGGAGGTGTTGGAACGCGTGTTGTCGGCCTGTAAGTCTTTCGGACTTAAACTACACCCAGGCAAGTGTCATTGCTTTCTTCGTGAGGCACGTTGGTGCGGAAAGCTCGTGAGCGCTGAAGGTGTAAAGCATTGCCCGTCACGAGTGCAAGGACTGGTCTCCATGCCCGATCCGGTAAATGCTGGTCAGCTCCAGCAATTCCTTTGTGCCACAAACTGGATGCGGCAGAACATCGCCGGCTACAGCGAGCTAGTGGACCCGTTGCTGCGTGTGGTGGACGACGCAGCCAAGCGTGCAGGTGGGTGGAAGTCAAAGCAGTTGGGCCGAATTTCTCTCGTGGAGCTAGGGTGGGGACTTCAGCATACAGAGGATCTTCAGCAGCTCCGCAACGCACTACTTGCCATGGTTCCGCTGGTTCATCCCGACCCGAACACCGCCGTCGCCTTGTACACCGATGCGTCGCAAGACTTCTGGGCGGCCGTCTGTACTGCAGTGGATGGAGAAGACTTGGCGAAACCACCCGACCAACAGGATCACAAGCCCCTAGCATTTCTCAGTGGCAAATTTACGGGTGCTCAATTACGCTGGCCGACAAGTGAGAAGGAGGCCTTCGCGATTGTTGAGGCGGCGAAGCGCTTGGAGTACCTGCTTTTGCGACCTGGCTTTCACTTGTTTACGGACCATCGTAACCTCGTGTACATGTTCAACCCGTCCGCAAGTGACGGTCCAATGCAGCGCTACCAGGCTGACAAGCTTCAGCGATGGTCCATGGTTATGACTTCGTACAAGTACGTGATCGAGCATGTCAAGGGAGCCGATAATGTATGGGCCGATATGCTGAGTCGTTGGGGCTGTGGTGTCAAAAAACCTGAAGGCATCGCTGCTCATGTCAACCAAGTTGTTGTTGTCCCGCCTATCTCGCCGCTGGCTTCGTCCGAGTTCAACTGGCCGACC